GGCATCGCCACATATTCCGGCGAGTTCAAATGTTTTTTTAATTTTTCCGCAAGGATTTTTTTGTTTTCTACCATATTTTATAAATTAATTACTTATAATTATTATTTTAGCATTTTAATTAACACTTCATTCTACTTTTTTTAAAAAACCGTCACTTTTTTTCCTTCGCGGTCTTGGCGACCTTTTTCTTTTTGCTTTGCTAATAATTTATTAAACTCCTTTTCGGGAAATTGGCAAGCCTTTTTTTCCAAATAAAAACGAATTAATTCAAGGGGAATGCCTTTCGTATCATACCAAAAAAATAGGTCCTCAGCGGTGGTTTTTGGCGTTCAATACTTTTCTAATTCTCGGTTGGCTCGAAGAATAAATTCCCGGTTTTTTTCGATTTCTTTTTTTAATTCACTAATTATTAAATTCTCGTTTGCCTTTAAATGTTGATAATAGGAAGCGTTAACCTCAATTAACTTTTCACTAACTTTTTGTAATTGTTCGCTGTTTAGACCTAACAAATAACTTAATAAAGTGGCTTTTTTGACTAATTTTTTGAGAATATAACCCCGCCCTTTGGACTCAAAGGTTGCTCCATCCGCCAGTGCGAAAATGGTGGTTCGCAAATGGTCAGCAATTATATAATAATTTCCTTTTTGCTCATTAGTATAGGTCATTTTTAATTTATTTTACTTTTTTCATCCTCTTGACTAATCAAATTATCAATATAACTATTAAAACTATCACAATTATTCCTCCCAATGTGGAAACGATATCATCTCTCGTTGGTCCATGTCCCTCCTTATATTTATTTTCTTTCTCCCAAGCGAATTTGCAATCAAGCGAACAAAATCTTTTCTTTTTGCTGGGAATATCTCAATCTAAGTGTTTAGTTTCTTTACAATAGTCACAAACGCCTTCTTTTTCAAGTTCTTTAATTTCACTTTCAATTTCAAATCTTCGTCTTTGGCTTTGAAGAACATCGGAAGTTTGCTTAATCTTTTCTCGTCAATCACTAACTCCTAACCTTTGATTTAATTTCTGCTCAGAAACCTTTCTTTTTCTTAATTCTCTTTCCACTTTATCAATATCATCTTTTTGATTTCGTTCAGTGAACTCTCTGATTTCTGTATTGGAGTCTTTTCCTCCCCGCTTTTGCAAACCTTCTAAAATTTTTTTGGCTTCTTCCTCTTTCTTTTTATTATCTTTTTGTCAATCATGTTCACCAGCATTATATTTTCGCCACCATTCTTCTCTTTCTTGATTATTTTGCCTTATTGTTTCGTTAATTTTTGCTTGACATTCTTTTCTAGTCCTCTCCAAATCCTGATCCAATTCATTTTTAGTCCTTTCATATTCCTTATCAAGTTTAAATCTATGAGTTTTATCAATAATCTTTATCATATTTTCAACAAATAACTCTATTTCCGAATTTTCCCTCATATTTTCTATGGTGCGTTCAAAATTAGTAACTTTCTCAACGTATTCTTGCAAATCCGGTGCTGTAGCAGCAACTTCACGGACAAGATTACTAAATTCTGCTTGACTTAAATCAGCATACCCTAAATACCTTTTAATTTTCTCAATAGCCTCTTTTTTAATTTCTCGTAATGTTTCTTCGTAACTAGGTGGATTATCGGTCATATTTTTCGCTTAACTCTTTATAAAAAAAATTAGCAATTACGAGCCGGCATTTAGAGAATAGGAAATTGTTAGGTCAAATGATTTTTTTTTTTTGCGATTTCTGTCATATAATGTATTTTTAATTTTATTAAACTGGTTTAAGGCAATTTTTAGAAGGAGGCTTTCTGCCTCTCCAAAATTGCCTGATAACTTACTCAATATTAATTCGATGGGCTTGACTTTGGGTATCCTTAGGGGCAACTATGGATAATACTCCATTCTCATAATGAGCCTTAATTTTTTCCTTTTTAACCAAAGTCGGTAGAGCAAACTCTCGGTAAAATTTTCCGTAAAAAATTTCAGAATAATGTTGCTTAGCATCATCCTGTTTTTTTTCTTCTTTTCTTTCCCCACTGATTTTAACTATATTTTCTTCAACTTCAATCTTCACATCTTCTTTTTTAACTCCCGGTAAGTTTACTTCTAAAAGGTATTTATCTTTCTCTTCCATCAATTTACTTTGCGGTTGAAATTCTTCTCATGCTTCGCCTAATAGCCCCGAAGTTGGTCATCATACATCATTAAAAAAATTATCCAAGGTTCGTTGTAAATGTTTTAGTCCTTTGTAATTATTTCTTTTAATTATATTTCGATTGTTCATATTTCTTTTATTATATTTATAATTTTTTAATTAAATTGTCTTGTTAACTGTTAATTGAGCGACTACATTATGCAAGTTATTTTTCAAAACATAAAAATTTCTCAATTTAAAATCCATTACTGTTTTTTTTTTTTTTTTCATCCGTGGCGAAAATTGCTTTTATCGTCCAGTAAATTATTAATCCTAAAATTAAGGCACTGACTACAATTGCTAATGGCATTGCTCATCAATATTTACCTTCGTTTGCCGCCTGCTTTAAAGTATCACTCCCGGTTTTATCGCCAATATTTTTTATCCCTTCGTTAGACCGGTCCTTAATATCCTGCAAAATAGTTTTTTTAGCATTCCACGACTGGGGAATCACTAAGGTATGTCCTTCCTCCCGGGTTTTATTATCCGCAAATATTTGCAACACGAGGTCTTTGTGAGGCTGCAAACGTTCTAATTTTTTATCTACATCATATTCCAACTTGATTTCTGAATAGTCATCATCTCCGTATTCAACCTTTTCCTCTAATTCATAAACTACTCATTTTTTACCATTTTCTTCACTTTTATTTTTCTGCTCTTTAATTTTAATGTGTAAATCTGTCATATTAATAGTTAATTATTGTATTTACTTAATTTTTATTTTAGTTATATTTTTTTGGTTTTGCTTCTTTTCTATTTAATTACCTTGGATTAGCATTCTAATTTTCCTAATTTTTTCTTTTACTTTCTCATGTTGAGTTGAAAATTGCTTTCCTTGTTCGGTATAATAGACTAATAACTCTTTTCTAAAATGCTTTTCGAATGCTGCCAAAACTTCATCGCAACCCCCCTTTAATAATTCTAATTCTTTATCATTAGGCTTAAGTTGTCTGGTTTGTCATTTTTCAATAAACTCTTCACTTATTCTGCCTACCACAAATAGAATTTTTAAGATTAACCTGCTTGACGCTTGGGTTCTTGCTTCTTCATCGAGAGACAAATACTTCTCCTTGGCTGAAAAATACAACTTATAAATTTCGAGGAAAGAAACATTTTCTCCCTCCCCTTTTCAATATATCTCATTCAGAATTTCAGACAACTCTTTTTCTCAGA